GACATAATAAATTTAGATATCTTCTACCTTCTGCCCTCAATAACAGCCAGAAATTAGCTGTAATTTTTGTGTATCTAACTTAATGTTTTCGCCAATTGTGAAGTAATTGAGAAATTGTGAAATTTTATTCAAAATAAAGCACTGTTTTATGTAGTATAATATTCGTGATACTTAGAATACAATATGTAAAGAACCCTTTGAGAAATATTATTTTCAACAAAGTATGACCTACTACAGTTGTAATATAATGTAACATCAAAGGTTCCCTTTGTATATTCAAATAGGTGGTGTAAAGAAGTTTTATATTTCCAATAGGATGTAATATTTTTTGTGACTTACTTTGTATAATCGTGATTTTTTTGCATAAAGTCAAGCAAACCTTTTCTTTGTGAGCTCTAATAATTGAGTTAGCGAGTCTGGTTTATATTTTGTGCTAAGCAGCTGTGTCAATATTAATCGCAGATGGTTTGGTTATTCAGTTTGAAAAAATATAAGCAATTTAATACATCAGCCAAGAATGTAATTCAAAAGTTAATTAATAATCTTATAAAAAGATAGATAATTAAATAAAAAAATATTTTGGCACATATGTTTACCGTTACCGTTAACCTAGATGGGTTAGTCAGAGATATTATCAACTTTCAACGCCATCCTGGTAAACGCAAGTACCGCCGTATCTCAGATTATTTTTGGGTATTATATATTAATAAAAAGTTTATTATTTCTAGATTTGCAGTCATGACATTTTGGTGTGAATTGAGATTGTGAGCCATTAAAATACAATGCTGCCAATTGGTGTAATAACATTACATATATTCATATCTATATGCAATAATATTGAAATGTATTTATAAAATATCTAATAAGAAATTTTAAATACACTATCACACAAGCTATCACGGAGATCGATAATAATACTAAAGCTAAATAATAATAATAGTATTGGTATTAATATTTATCTCTCCTTCTTCTTCTCTTATCGTCTCTCACACACACACACAACACACACACACACACACACACACACACACACACACACACACACACACAAACAAATACACTTTGCAAGTAAATAATGATAAGCTTGTGTTATTACCTTATTTAATTGTCTTTTTATCAATTGTAATTCCAAACATTGTGAATTGTAAGAGGAGGGAACACCTAAAATACAAGTTTCTACTTAGTTTAGGTACCAGGGAACAATTGAAATTGTAAATATTGGATGCAAAATAAAATTATTATTATTATTATTATTATTACTAAAGCTAAATAGCTTGAAACTTGATCTCTGGAATACTCAGACATTGTTAATGTCTCAGAATGGCGTAGTTATATTCGGGGATTTGTTGGTAACTTTAACTTCATTAAAAGTGTAGACACGTAACATTGTAAACGTTGGCCGCGTAGTGGAACTGGCTACTGTAGCTTTGAAAAGCAGATATTTGGTTTTCTTGCATAATATACTATGCACGTATGTTTAAATGTTTGTCCAAGATATATCTAAAGATAAATCAGTTTTTTTTTATAAATAACGCATTGTATTATTTGACCGAAATCATTGACCTATTGAGATTAAAATCTTTATAAATACTTTCTACTTGAAATAGTTTATGTATACCGTTATATTACTAGTATCTTTTTTTAATTAATGTAAAGGCATAGAGGTTAAATGATAATTATTTTCGGTTATCATATCATGTTATTTATCATATAACATGTAGCAGCGCTGGAAAGTTTAATATTTTACCTAAAACTACTACACGAGATAAAATAATTTATTAATAATTGGAAATGAACACGGTAACAACTCTCAGTGTCTTCAATAGTTAATTTCTGAGAAGTTTCTTGCGAATGAGTAGAAATAGTATAATTTCCACCTTCATAAGATCAGCTAATAAAGCCCAGATTCAGACTACTAGTGTATAAATGCTAAATCGAATGTTATAAATTAAAAAGAGGATTAAGGTTTAAACCTTTGTAATTTATAAAGTTTCTGTTTTCATGGTCGTTTCTTAAATAGTAGTGATTTCAGATTTCTGTTTGGTCCAATTTTGTTGTAACTATGTTGCATGATTATTCCGGTTTGAGAGGATTTAAAGAAAAAAATTGTACCTAACTATGTTACCGTAGTAAACTTTTACGGTTCTCCATCAACATGAAACAATGTTAGATACTAGAATTTTTTTAATAAATTTATAAACCGCGACGAAATAATCGATTTGCATTTATGCTATAAAATTATTAATTTAGTACAAACGCTGATGTTTCTGATGATTTTTTTTTTTTAAAATCAACATATTACTATTTAACTACCGCGGTGGTTGGACAGTAATGACAATTACATTTTAAAAGCTGTTGCTCTGATATGCGACGTTGTGTTATAATTACATAACTCCCTCAGACCAGAAACCTATCAGAAATTCGCTTGGATGTTTCGCTGGAGTATAAGATATATTCATTAGGTTTCATAAAGATACCAAAGTGTGACAATTTCCTAATCCTAATAATGTCCATTAGTTCCGTCGTCTTTTTCAACCTGTACTAATATTTCATACTTGGGATTCGGCACCATATGATATTAAATTAACGACATGCCGTCGTATATTTAAGATCTCATTCATCCACATCTCCTATGCCTGTAGTCTCTTAGTTGTAATAAATTTACAAAGATTACCTAAAGTATTTATAGTCCACTTTTAAGTGATGGTAATGTAGCAGTACTAGTAATAACACGCTTAAAAATTCTTCATTCTTGTACAATTTAAAATGCAGATGAAGGGAACCCGTTCGACAATTATCTGATACGTTTAATTAGAGAGGTACTTACGTTAAGTCCGGTGACGGTTCCATTAGCGTTTATTTTAAATATTAATAAGATATGATGCGATTATCTTTTAATCTCCATCCCGGTCGAAATCCTTTCAAAATGTAAATTGTACTACGTTTTACAACCCAATAATTTTGTCACATTTGTCAACTTATACTTGAGATCTGTAAATGAATTAATTTGGTAATTCAATAATATTTTCATAAAAATTACATTATATATGGAGATGGATGTTGCATTTGTAATATTGGTTTCTACTTAAATAAATAACAAATACTTTTTTTTATAAACATCTGTCAGCGGTCTCCACTTTACTATGTTAAACATAAAAATAACTGTTGTAGCTTACGCCATAGTTATTCAATAGGCACTTAGGTAAATATACGAATATGCTCAATTTGTCTGCACCCATACAGCCGTTTAGTTTTAAATTTTCATAATTTTTTCCTTTTGATTTTGAATTTTGTAATATTTTTTAAAGACTGCGAACGTCTCATGCTAGCATCAGTACTAACAAAGTTAGAATTTGGACATTGTTTTTCCACTTCTAAGTACTACGTACCTAGTCTTACTACGTCATAGAATGTATATATTTTCATCCGTTATATTTATCGTAAACTAGGCATAAAGTAAGTCTGTTCATAAGCTACCAAATACTGTGAACACGTGCTTTAAATTTTAACAACGATTAAATGTAAGGCACAAAAAATAAAAATCTATTGAAAGCCGCCTGCCTTGCCTATTAGCATTACCATCAATAGTTGGTATTGTGCGAACTGTGAATGACCTCTTCAGCATAATAAAGGCCGAAGGGATGCGCAGGAGCGCGTGCGGAGGGGCGACCGGTTTGAAATTAGAACTTTTTTATTCGGCGCGGCGCTTTGTCGGCGCCCGCCCGAAGCGTATGCGCTAACTCGACAAATGTGCCAATGAAATAAGCTGTATTTTCTATTCAATGTAGTTTGAATTTAAGTTTGAAGTTGTCGGGGTGGATTTGAAAAAAAATAATCATGGGTTATTTGATATTTTTGTATAGACTACAATCAGTATTATAGTACAAGATTTGAATTTAAAAGTAATTAAACCCGCAGTATCTACAGTCATACAAAATTGGCACTATATTTATTTAGAATTAAAGAATATTTTATCAGATGGTTTTTGACTTTATGAGAAAATGGCCTTTAAATTTGTTTTCAAGACTTAATAATAATTTAGCTAATGTATCAAAAATCCGTCTTTGGAATAAATGGCAACACTATGTTTCTTTTAGTTACATAGATATTTATTATAATTATATCCAAAAATATATTATATTATATTTTATGATATATCTCATATTTCTAAATTTATTTATAATTTTTCCAATGGTACGGTACAATTATCTGGAGATGGCATATTATAAACAAAATTAATATTTATATGCTTTTAAATGACAAAATAATAAATAATGGAGCTTTGAGATTCTTGGAAAAAAACGTTCTCTTAAAACATGTAATATTTCAATATTATGGACAATTATTGTTTTCTAGTCTATTTTAAATATATTTTATTACACCTATAAACAATAGCTTTATCATCACTTAATAATCCAGACCAGATAAAACGGGTTTGCTGTCACAAACCCGTTTACAACAAATAAACTGGATTATCATTTTTTTAGCATCTCTTGTATGAGCAATATAATTACTAATAAATATGTATAATCCTACTAACAGCACGAATTTGCTCTTTAATGCTATGTAGCAGGACGTGGAAAGGTGATTGTGTGACATTTACATGCTTAAAAGCTCACGAGTTTATGTAAGTCATTTTAGCTACTGCTGCTTAGTACGTAGCTTAGTTAACTTAAATACGGATTCTAGATTAATAAGACTTCTTTCTTTCATACCACTTCCATAAGTAAATCTGTCTGCCAGTGTAATTACATTAGCTGTTTAGCAATTCGGAATAAAAATTACATTATTATTCTTATACTTTTTATTACACAGTAATTTTATACTAGTTACTTAATATTTTCGGTTATGTTTTTACATATAATTAATTAATTATTTATGTTTAAAACTATTTCGTACACGATTTCAGTGTACCAGAAGAACAGCGGCAAGGCGCCTTTGTATCCCCCCATTAGGAGAGAGTAAACAGATCAGGGAGGGAGGCGCGATAGTACGACGCAAGGTACCAAACCGGTTGGACGTGTGGAACACTGAGAGCGGAGTACCGAACGCGATGCCGCGTTTGTTTACCGAACTTTTCAAATTTGAATTTCGAATTGAATGAATTTTTTTCGTTATAAATGCCGATCACGTCGTCAACGGAAGAGTGAATGTTATGCTATAGTGAAATAATAAACATGTAAATTGTCGACAGTGTAAGAATTGAGCTTAATTCAGTGGCAGTATGGTGGATGTTGGTGTTAATGAGTGTGATAACACCATAAATGGGCGGAACCAATTTGTGTTTCTAGTATTTGTGCATTTGTTACTTATTGGACTGAATGGGACAAATGGTAAATATTATAATATGCTTACTAAACAAAAAAACACTAACGAAAATTATAACAAATTACAATTTACATTAAACATATAAGATTAGAATTTATGCAAATACCTTAATGAATTACTTAGACAACACGTACTATTATATCATTCGAAATTACAACTGAAATTATAAATGAAACTTATAAAGTTTTCTATTTTGTATTCTTTTTATTTTTACGAGTTGTAGGGTTCGTAGACAGTCGTTTTTTTATCAGATCGGTACCACACCAAGTAATTAAACTAGCATGGGGCCAATTAACAAAATGTTCCGTAGCCTGGTAGCCGTAGCTGTTTCGACAATGAAACAATAGTTCTTTTTTGTTACTTAATTGAAGTTAACGGGTAATCGCTATTGGAAAACGCAATTAGAGGTTGGTGGCCTAGCTTCATTTCTGAAGTGTGAATAGACTTTTGATCGATTTTTTATTGTTTAAATTTGTAACTAAATTGCTTTTATTTCCATTTCGTAGTATATTCTTGAAATACATAATAAAACGTGTGTAATATGCATATGTGTGAAAGGCGTTATTAGTAAATATGTCTAATACATTTTTAAAATGATTTGCAAAATAAAATACCTAGCAGATAATTGATGGCCAGGGTAGTCTACCGGTTTACTTCTGCTGGTAGCGGGTTCGATTCCTCGCATGGTTACAAACATTCATTACTATGATTCTCTGTACCGGCCTTTGTCTTGTCTATGTATGTATTTATAAAAAAAATGTTAAGTATACTTAGTTAGCCTAGTGCTCATTACACAAGATCTGCTTACCTTGGGACTAGATGGCTTTGCGTGAATTGTCCAAGTGTATTATTATTAATTATAAACTTATTTTTTATTTAGATAGCTACCTAAGTACCAAGTACGTGTACATAAAAACCTAGTTAAATACAACAAAGATAGCCAAATATTCATGATTCCTTTTTAATTGATATTGATATACTTCCGCGCGTATTATGGGAATAATTAGAGATGAATGTTTTTTGTCGAACAAAATAATAACTTATTTTCGTTTTGCTTTTTTCTTTTGATACATCATTGATGCTTTTATTTTTAAACTAGCTGCACCCGCGACTTCGTCCGCGTAGAATTTAACTTTATTTTTCTAAAATAAATGTAGTCTAAGTTACTCCTTATTACATCAGCTACTTGCCAAAGAAAGTCAGCCATTTCAGAGATTAGCCGGAACAAACAGACAGACATACAAAAATTGTAAAAAATGTTATTATGGTATATATACCGTATTTATATTCATAGGCCTATAGTAAAAAATGGTTATTTTAATATTACAAACAGACACTCCAATTTTATTTATATGTATAGATTAACACTTAATTATTATATAATTTGTAATTACATATGAATAGAATGCTTTTTCGTACTATATAGCATTGTGCATCCGCAACGGAACAGAGAGAATAACGCATTGAAATTTACATCATCACTCGTCTATTAATTTGTAACTAATTACATAATTATACATACAATGGAGATACATTTTTAACCTAGTTACATACTATAGTAGTACCTACTTATGGTTTGTAGACATAACATGATCATTGTATTTTTGTTATCATCGCTTCTCAATTGAAAGTCAACTTTTAAATCTTTTAAAGCACTTAATTGACAGTAATGTTAAAAAAATAAAATACTCCTTACCAAAATGATGTGCATACGTAGTTAAAATGTAACAAAAAATATATAAGTTTGTGTTAAGTTCAATTCCTATCAGTTTTATTTTATAATAGCTATTTGAATTTATGTTTATTTTTTATCCTGAACAGCGAGGTAATTTTAAATCTAACCATTTCGGCATTTCCTTTAGCAAGTATTTTACTTACCAGCCATCTTTCCCATGAATTATTAATTGTAATTGACTGTCTATTTTTATTTCTCTTGCAGAAAATTATTGAAAATTATATTTGTCTATATTAACTCAACATCTTTATCGAAATCAATTGAAAATATTAGATACATTAGTTATTATAAGCACAATCTACTTTTGACTAGTTTGTTATATAAATCTTCTCACCTGAATTTGCATTCCGACAGTTTTTATGTATATTTTATAGAATTAGAATAGATTATTAACTATCTTGAAAGAAAGTAGTGTAGTAACGGATAATATAATTAACAATACATACACCATACTCATTATTTATTTCACTACAAAAAGAATTAACGGCACATATTGATAAAGTGCACTAATTAATATGTGTAAGTTGTGTATAGTATACAATCTATTGTATTTTTATACGTATATTATTATTATGTTTTTTTTTATAACTGAATAACAGTAATCCGTAAATCAAAATGAGTATAATATGTACTGTACCTTATTAATTAACATTATAAAAGCGAAAGTTGTGAGTATGGATGGATCTTTGTTACTCTTTCACGCAAAAATTATTAAACGGATTTTGATGATACTTTACAGAATATCAGAATAACATGTAGGGTTATAAATTATATGCGAGTGAAACCGTGGGTGGGGATAGTAATATATAATTATAATATTTATTTATTCATTGAAATCGGATATCAAACTATTTAAATCGGAAACAACTTATAGACGATGTTAGTAATTATAATTTATATCCTTTCAATTCATATATATATGTCTATGTCCACGTCCAGAAGCACTGGGTCCACAGCAGTGCTGTGCTGTCCAGTGTCTCTGGAGCGGACAATCCGACATATTTGCTACGGTGTTTAGGAGGCTGTTTGCGCTCCCTCGAATTCTACACATTAGTGATACGGTTCTATTCCGCATTATTGCTTCAAGGCCATCTATCCGCGCTATTACTTCTCTCCAATAGGTAACAGGCGTGATATTTAAGTTTACATGTGTATTTTGTTTTTTATACCATTTTTTTATCGAGTACCGTGCAATATCAGTCGAATATTAATTCGTAACGCTCACGGTTGGTTTCGTTAAAATCGGTCGATTGTTGCTGTGAAGTAACGATTAGTGAGGCCATTCCTTTGACGGATGAACGTTTAGTGTTTAACTTGAAACTCATTCTACTTCGAGTGGTTTAGTTTACCATGTGATTTGAAGTACCGATCGTGAATGAACAATCACTAACTTCACTTGACATTGCTTGATAAAGTATATAGAAATGATATCTTTTACTAATAAAAATATAACAGTGAAACAACATCAAAAAAATTACTTAAAATTGTATTAATATATATTGTTTATGAAAATTATCATAGTATTGTATTACATACAATTGCACAAATATTATATTCTATAGCCTGCAGATCGCCTGTGCCGGAAAACGTGTAATTTTTGGTATAAATCAAATGTACGGAATCAATTTATTCACCCCGCCCATTGCACCCACACGCGCAATACAAAAAGACAAACAAGTTAAGATAGTATATTGTATCGGGTTATCAGTGACAGTGACAAGTATTAATAAAGGACTACTGCCGCTGCGCCTGCGTCTCTAACCAGGGATGCCAACCGTACGACAAACCTTGTACTGATACGAGATTTTTGACCTTTAGTACGAGGACATTTTCGTCCTTGTAAGTATGTATCTACTAGATTTTATCCTACGGAAATCGGTCAAACAATGAGTATGGCGATATAGAAGATTAGAAAGCCAACATACGAGATGTTTGACATCTTCGTATGAGGCAACCCTGTCTCTAACTTTACGGCCGGCATAAAAATAATAAAAATAATATATCAAAGTTATTACAATACGCCGTGTGACACTTTATCTGTATGTTCATCTAAATACAGTAAGGGAACCAATGTTATTGAGATATTTTGTTGGTAGGTATTTGATTTACACGGTATGTTAAAAAAGCACTTGTAATCTTGAGTAGGCGTTGGATTCTGGGCGTGTAGTTTAACAGGACTATTAAAAATAACATACATTCATATCACGGTAAATTATAAAAGTTAATATTTAGTATATGTTTAATATTTTTTCTTGCGGCATAGAAATTTGAATTTCAAATAATATGTTTAGTTCATATTTGGCTTATGAGCAAACAATGCGCAGAAATAAGGAGTATGTTTCATAGAAGTATTAAATATGTACTTATAAGGACGATAAGGCCAGAAGTAGATCTAAAAAGAGATTGATGAACTGTGTGAAAGATGATGTGGCAAGAAATCATGTGAATACTGGGATGACGGCTAACTGAGATAAATGAAAGAAAAAGCATATTAAATTAAATTAATATTTATTGCTTAAAATGTGGTACATCAAATGTGGGTTTTAAAGTCTTTATTATTAGTTCCACACGTTTTGTCACTGACATGTAACAGACAAAACAAATGTCATTAACAATTATTCCATATGATATGTGATAGTGATAAGAGAAGACAATTTTTGGTGTATTATAGTTTCATTTACATAAATCTAGATACTGGATTAAACTATTATTAAATATAGAAAAATGGTTTCGAATTAATTGTCTTTAAAGATTCTTGTTACTATGAGTTTATTATAATTGCAAGTAATAAGTTGTTGGTATCGGTTCGGAAATACCATTGCTGGAAGGTGATTCCACAGTCTGGTTATGCGTGTCAAAAAGTTTCTAGAAAACCACACATTTTATTGAAACGCAATGTTTAGAATGATACTATTATTTAGGAGGATATATAATTTAGATGCTGTTATAAATGTCGTGATCCCTGGTCGCCTGTTACGCTTGTATTATTACGGTAAATATCTTATTTATATAGTGTGAGCAATAGTTAATGTTTGCAATGGATAGTTAACAGTTCTCATAAATCGCGATTAAATAATGTCATAAGGTCCTCTCGGCCAAAGGTGGTAGCGGTATAATACGTGGGGCCGGATTTGTCTCTTATAAGGTCTTTGCTTGGGTATCAATTACTTCCTTGTACTGCTAAGTATACGAACATCTTTAAGTTTTATTTCGGACAAATAGACGGGCAGTAATTTTATTCTAAGAGCAATAATTTTATTATATTATTATTATTATTATTGACGACCTCGGTGGTCTAGCGGTCTAGCACACCGCTTTACGTCCGATGGTCGCGGGTTCGATTCCTCGCACGGCACATACATTTGTATTCATGAGTATGATTGTTTGTATCGGTCTGGGAGTTTTCTATGTATAATAACATGTATTTACGAAAAAAAAAATATCGATGTATTTGTATCAGTTGTCTAGTACCCATAACACAAGCTTTAGTTAGCTTAACTTGGGTCTAGATGGCACTGTGTGAATTGTCCTGAGATTATTATTATAAATATTATTCTTTATTGTGTAATTTTATAAAAATGATTAAACGGATATAAAATATTTCATAAACTTTGTTCTGTGTTTATGTATTATAATTTAGTATTGGCATCTAGTTTACATAATTAATTAATTTAACATCAGTAAGAGATATATACGATGACAATTAAAGAATTTTAAACTTATTATTATGTCATCAAATTATATAAAGTAATAAAATATAACGAATCGATGATTTTGTAAGGCATATTGCCCAACATAATATTCATTTCGTTAATTAATTACTAGTAGTTTTATTGCTATAATAATGTCTATACATATATATACCTATATATTGCTATAATTAGTATGCTTAATATGCTTCTATTGACCTTATCTAACTTAGCCTACATTGAATAATAAGTATACATAACACTATATAACAATAACAGGTATGCCTAAAATTATTTAATTTAACTATAAAAGATATATATCTAAATGAGACATACAAATAATTATCGTTGTAGTAATTTTTGTCCTCTTGTAAAATGATAGTGTACTTAATAATAATATATTTTAGTTATTATGTTATATTTTTTATGTTTTTTTTTAATTTTAGGTTCTTTGTTGTATAAGTAATTAAGTTATGTTTATATATTTAATTCATGCAAGACAAAGACTTTAATTGTACATAAGTACTTTTATTTAAATTACAAAACATTTATGCATGTAGAATATTTTATAGACAAAATATTACCATTTCTCAATTTTTAGTTTTCGAAATAAAAAAGCAAAGGAATGAAATGAATAATTATGTTAATTGTTATGTGAAAATAGTTCTAAGTTGATGTAAGGCTAGGCTTGCTGTAGTACTGTAGCTAAACCCTTTATTAGGGAAAAAGTCTAGTTTAGATGTTGAATTGTGTATATATCTTACCTAAATAGAAAACATTACCTAATAAAAAAATATAAACGGCGCAAAAAATAATGGAATAAAAATTCGAAATATGTGTAAAATATTAGAATTTATTTGTTTACCACAATATACAGTTAATTTATAATTGTAGTTATTTACATGGCTGCTATATAAAATTTCTTTTTAAATATCGTTACTTTAATATTATTTATAAGACAATATTTTACTTATTTTAAATAAGTAACTACACTAAAAACTAGCTTATTCTACTAACTAGTTTTATGCCATTTAACATGAAAAGCACAGAATTATTCTACAACGATCTACAATGTACTGATTCCGAAGATTATCCTCGAAATTTGGAAATAAGTTACTGCCACATAATCGTTACTTTTTCTTTAAATATCTTTCAGTTGTTGAGTTGAAATCACATTATCACTTTAAGTTTACATATAAAATACAAAAAATAAGTAATTTAGAAATAGAATAGATTAAATGCAAACTAAATTCCTATCATGAAGCATACTTACTCACAATAAATGCTTTGTTGTTTTGAAGGATTTTTATATCCTTTTTTTATATATAACTGCTCTTAGCTGAGTGAAAAATTAAATAGGTGAATGAGATCGTATAAGTTGTATACTTTATTGCTGTTAGTCAACATGGGTTATATACTTTTTTATATCGTACGTGATATGAGTACGCCGTGTCGGCTGATGAATTTTAACACGCACAAGTAAAGTGAAGTAATAACTTTGATTTACATACATACATATTCCGAGTTATTTCCTAATGCCATTTGTTGGTGTGAAGATATTTTATACCTAACGATAATTCTTGTATGAGGTTATGTGTCGTTGAATAACAAAAATATTATTTTATTGTTGGAGCGTTGATGAATTTTGGTTCAATAGACAATGCCCAGAATTATATCTGTATGTTTATTAACGATTATTTAAAAAGTGTTTTGATTCTTGAATTAACGTTTGCTTTAGGATAGCAAACGTCAATTCAAGAATCAAAACAATTGTTTTTTAACGTTAATGCATTAAGTTATAGATAAGAATACTATTTGGAAAGTTTAATACATACATATATATATAGTATAATAACCCTGGACAATTCACACTAAATCATATAGTCCCAACGTAAGCAAAGCTCTTTTGGTACTAGACAGCAGATATAAATACTTAGATATTTTTATAAAATATATGCATAATATACTTAGAAAACACCCTGACCAATATAAACATAGAAATGTTTGTACCGTGCGAGGATGTGCCATAATCCAAATTTGAAGTGAAATGTGATATATGTAATGTGATAGAAACTATTCTTCCTCTATATAGACGTCTTTAATTAAAACCCGTTCAGCCGCTTAGCCATGATAAGGTAACAGACAGAGAGACAGACAGACTCAGTTATTGTCTACCGGGTTGTCTGTAAGAGATTGCTGATAGAGATAAGACCGCCTTTTGTAAAACATTTATTTTCATTGTTTAGTAAGTAGTTACTGTGCAGTAAAGTTTTGTACATAGAACCAATTTGAGAGATTAGTTTTCTAAGTTGCTTCGACTGAGAATAGACTTTTGCCGGTAAATGGTGAAATGTTAATTCTATCACTGCACCCTGAAGATCGTCAAATTTGATCAATATATTTCATTTGTCTTTTAAATTTAGCCCAAAATCGAGCGCCACGCATTAAAGAACACCCATCAAACACTGTGTCGGGACGCAGTGAACCCGCTACCCTGAGATGTGTTGTGGAAGGCCGGCCCAAGCCTACAGTGCAGTGGTATAAGGATGGATTACCGCTACCTCCAGCTGAAGATGGCCATAGAGTATTATTAGAAGACGGTCTGTTGTTTCTGCGGTAAGAACTTTGTTAGTGTTTTAGAATTTTAACAATAGAATAATAAGAGCTAAAATTTAGACTAAAATTTACTACTTAAAAAAAATCATTACTTATTAATTGCTTGCAATTATAAGCGATTTTGTCTGTTTTTTTTATTAAGTCTATATCTGGTCGGTGATATAAATTACATTCAAGTTAAATTTAACTCTCATCTGTATAACCTTTTAGTCGTGAAAAAGTAACAAACACATTACAAAAGTAACAACAGATCATATTATGGATTACGTAAAAAGTGTTGAGGTATCGAAATGGTCTGGTATTGTATATTTTGGTAATAAACGCTATATTTTTTTCTTTTGTACATCGAAGACCTGGTTTTTTCTATTTCATGAAAGTAAAGTAAAGTATTCTAATTTATAGGTATAATTTAAAGTGTTTCAAAATAATGTATTCAAACTACATATTAAAAATTCTAATGTTAGTAAACTAATCTACGATTATTTCTCAATTATGATAAGAGAATTTTTCTGTACAGAGTAAATAGAGGTAAAAAAGAGAGCGACGAAGGAGTATATTGGTGCATGGCACGGAATACTGCTGGCCAAGCCATAAGTCATAACGCCTCGCTCAATGTTGCCGGTGAGTTTTTTACTACTTTCTTAAGTACTGACTACAAAACTCTGATTAATTGAAGAAAAGTTTATATATATAAATATATATATAATTCTTATTTCTTTAATAACGTTATTTGATGTAAATTAGTTCCGATTGCACGAGTCTATGATATTTACGATAGTATGATTGTGTTGTTAAATAAACTGTAAATGATTTTCTTCCGAAACTATGTTTTGTTTTGCCTCTCATTTTTAATGATGTAGCATTTATTATTTATGAATATGTCAGCTACAAAAGAACTAATCGTTCATAATGTTTCAACGACATACATCCTATACTATGTGTATTCTTTAATATTATTATACAAATTAAAATTTTGAACATAGCGATAGCAGTCCAAATCTTATTCACATTTGTAATAGTAATGTTTAAAAGAGAATTAATATATTATTAATTATTTGCAGTACTTCGAGATGACTTTAGGGCGGAACCTAGGGATCTTAAAGTGGCTGCAGGTGAACCTGCTATATTGGAATGTTCACCTCCTCGAGGTATTCCAGAACCTTCAGTGCATTGGGTGAAGGATCATCAGATATATGATGTTGAAGTTAATGGCAGGTACACTAATATATTATTATTATTAATTTATCATATCATTAGCAACCACAAGGTTTAGATAACAGCAAGTGATATAGTAGCAAAATTAATAGATTATAAAAATTTAAAGTATTATTATATTAGATATATTACACTATGTATTATGCAGCAAATATTTAATTTTTACTTTTGTTTACTTAAGTTTACTTAAATGAAAATCATTTATATATAAAAATATTTTAAGGATAAATAAGAACAATTGACATAACCAAATACGAATATTTGGATCAATAGTCTACATAGAACTCAACGTATTAGTAATCGTGAATGTAATAAATCATATTGTTTTTAATTAAAAATATTTAAAACAAATTACCTCGATATTATAAAGTAAGTAAATATTGACTACTTTTTTTAGGGTAACAGTAACAGATACAGGAAGTTTGAAAATTCTAGAAACATTACCCACTGACAATGGTGTATACAGATGTGTCGCTACAAATATTGCAGGAGAAAGGCAATCTAGAACAGCTAGACTAATTGTTTTAAAGCGTCCGCACTTCATTGTGAAACCTAATAATATCACTACGTTGGTCGGACAAACTGTGGAATTTAACTGCCAGGTATTGACAATATATTATTTAACACTCACAAATTATAACAATAAATTCTTTAGTATTTATACAGTTTGTTTATTTTAGAGTTACGATTCAAATGTAAAAATAACATGGGTCAAAGAAGACGGGTCGCTGCCTTCCCATGCATCAATAATACGAGGCTTATTACGGCTAGAGCACGTGTCTGCAAGCGATGCGGGCATGTATTCCTGCCGAGCCGATAGCCAAGCCGGCAGTAGTATCACTAGCGCCACACTAACCGTTAACTGTAAGCACTGCCTCTATTTTGATCGATTTTATTGCATCAATGTCTATTGCGGTCGTGCTTTATTTTAATATGGCCATCTGTTTCAGCATTACCGCACTTCACACAGATACCATCTAATCTGACCGCATGGGAGGGTGATGTGGTGTCTATTCCATGTGAAGCCAGAGGTTTACCTACGCCTACAACATTTTGGATATTAGAAGGGAATCAGGACTCCCTGTTGTTCCCGGAATGTATGAAAAGTAATACAAGCTTACTATATCTAGATGGTGCTAAACCAGAACACAGTGGAAGAGTGATTTGTACAGCGGTAAATGCTGCAGGAAGTATTATGCAAGAGGCTTATCTTACTGTTTTAAAGAAGGGTAATAATGATTTGAGGGAACCATCTTTAGATAAACATTCCAGTATAATTTACGACAATGAAGCGCGCATGACACAATATGAGCTTGTTCAAGCAAGAAAGTATTTGCAACAAAATGTTTTGGTTATGCGGAGAGTAGAAGCGTTATCATCTACTACGCTAAAAGTTGTCTGGGATGTAAGTAGATGACTTGTTTTACAAAATTTGTTCCCGTCAATAATAATCAATTTAAATCCGGTGATTTAGTAGTATTCATACTTTTGTCTTTCTATATTACCAGGTGTTAACTGATTACAACGAATATTTAGAAGGTGTAAAAATTTGGTATAATGGAACTACACAAAATTGGAGGAACATTACTAGCGATGAAATCGCAATTTTGAACACGTCTCACTCAGGAGCTATTGTATGTTCTAATGGTTCTCTCACAAATGTTGATAACAGCGGCTCTTCTAGTTATATTTTAACGGGACTGATGGCATACACTCAGTACGATATATTTCTGATGCCGTTCTACAAAATATTGCTTGGAAAACCTTCTAATTTAATGACAGGATACACTGACGGGGACGGTAAGGGATTAAACCTTTTATTATTAATTTTGCGGTTGAATTATAGGGTATTTAATATTGATGATTATTTTAGTACCATCCGCACCTCCCCAAAGTGTGACAGCAGGCGTAATTAACGCAACTTCAGCGTGGATACGTTGGGAACCGCCACCTGCGAACACATGGAACGGGGAGCTTACGGGGTACTTGGTGAGTACTTTCCCTTTTAATTATTGTTACATCCTTTATTTTCGTAAAATTTAATTGTCTTATTGCCATCTTGAAATGAATTATGTTATTATGTCTTTAATGTGGTATAATTAATAAAAAAGAGCATTCATTACAAGAGGTTAGGTTTTTGTAATTTATTAAAAAATCGAATCTTTCGCACGCAGTCATATAAATTAGTTTTGACATGATCTATTAATGTTGATACATGAATATCTAAACTACTTATTATTTATAGTTTATTATATTTATAGTTTATTGCTAGTAGTAGTTCCAGTGGTCCTTTATCAGTTTACGTGAGTATCTAATTGTGGAGAATACTCAGAGTCAATATATCTCATTACAAGTTAATTCTATGGCGATCTGCCAGCTTTAATAATAAATTTAGCAGTTAGATGCAGATAACTGCGTATGTTAGTTTTCTCTTATAGGAACATTTAATCTTATTAGTTAAGTGATATTTTAACATGCAACTATCTAAATTTAAAATAATAAATACATATATACAACATATACCTAAGATATTTAATGTGGTACTTCCTCGTTGCATTGTTATATAAGAATTTTCACGCTCTCAGGTTACAATGAGTGTCTGAATTGTCTTATCAATTTTTAGATCGAAATTCGTGTAAGTGGCAATAGTGGTGGTCGAGTAGTAGGGCAGATGTCATTAGGACCTCGTACTAGAGCCGCTGCAGCCAGCTCACTACGCGCTGGTGGACGTTACAGCGCCAGAGCTGCTGCTGTGACGATCAAAGGACATGGCCCATTTAGTGCGCCTGCGCAGATTCATATGTTACCAACGCAATCACAGAGACATTATGTGCAGTAAGTTTTTTTGTAACTTTTGATAGAATTGAATTAGCTAGGTTATCGAGACTTACTCAGTTTTTTTTATAGAATTGAAATGCATACTTTTAAGAACAAGAAATACCGATCCAACATAATATATTATTTTGTACTGAACCGAATGACTATAAAATTCACGCTTATAACAGTTTCATAAAAAGCGGTATTATATTTGTTTATTTATTGCATTGTTAAAAATATGTATAATTGACGAACTAAAACCGAATGCGGTTTAAGCAGTTAAAAGGCACACTTTATTAGCTAGCTAAATTTATCTAAATATAGTAATTATATAATGTTTATATATATTATACTTAATGTTATGTATTTCTAAAGATTTAATGTTTAAAATCTGACGTTTTCTTCGTTTAGGACAGAGCCTCCACAAGGCGGTAGTATTCCCCATATTTTACAAGAAACATGGCTACTTGCGCTGGGTCTAATATTATTCTTTGTTATCGTAATTGGGGTGTCCAGTGTTTATTATATCAAACGAAGACATGGTATGCAGAGGAAAAAATCTAATGGTAAGGCATTTAAAATAAATAAATTCCAGATGTATCGCCGTATTTTTTCTTGTATGTAACTACACCAGAAAATTAGTTACTTTATTTAAATTAGTCTTTATGTCGTATGTACTATAATTGATTTTACAATAACAAACCATCCTAAATGTAGTACACTTTTACTAATATATGATTAATATTTGGAACACTACTCAGTTGATAGATCCTAATTCAAGAAAGTAAGGAATGAGAAGGTATGCCGCTATCAAAGTTAATTTTGGTCGAATATGGTAAACTCAAACAATTAGGTCATTTTTACTATCGATAGGACTAACAGAATTATCTAGGAGGGAAGATAAATTGACTAGGCAACAGTTAGAGAACAGTGATAACCGAAAAATGCTGATAATAATAATTCAATTCACACAGCGCCATATATATAGTCCCAAACTAAGCAGAACGTGTATTATGATACTGTATAACCGTAATTATAACGACTCAATTTTTTTGTAAATATACATTTATAATAGCGTCATGGCCTAGTGATTCATATCTGGCAAACAACAAAAAACTTATGTCAAATAGTTCTGACTGACTTTCCGGTAATGCGAACACTTATAACAAATCAAATTAATCCGAAATACGGTGGTAAGGTCGCCTCCCCCCCCCCCCCCCTCCACCCCAGTTACGTTAAATTCAAGTATTCTACAGATATGTAGGCATGTCAAGTGCTGCATTCACCTCGACGTTAACTTGCTGCGGGTTCGATTCCTCGCACGGTACAAACATTTGTATTTATGAGTATGATTGTTTGTATCGATCTGGGTATTTTCTATGTATATTGTGTTTGTATTTACGAAAAAAGTATGTATGTATTTATATCGCTTGTCTAGTGCCCATAATACAAATCACGTAGTGTGAATTGTCCTAAGATATTAAAAAAAAACTAAGTATTCTTATAGTGTGAGAATTGAATAAGCGACCACAGGCAGTAAGTTTGTATACTGAATAGCTGGACCACCTAAAATGTTTCTATCATGTGACAAAGCTGCTTGTGTTGAAGCGGAGTTAGCATTGAGTGAAACATTTAATGGACTCGCTATATGATTAAGTCCTATAAACGTTTGTTATAAACGAAGTAATTGAAACATTGAACTCAATTGTAGGTCAATCGATTGTTACGGCTCAACAGTGTTTATTGAATAAAGACACGATATGGTTACGAGATCGGCCCGTCTTTGCTCCTACAAATGATCCCACTTTAGACTTAAGCAGTTGTCACCAGAGTCTTTTGCATGGTAAGTGAATCACTTAATCAATATTAATGCTGTATTTCGCAGTGACGTTTATTGATATAATACAAACACGTAATAATATTTCAATTTATGTCACTTATATATAGTATTTAAATAATGACTTTCCTAATAAATTACATACTTACTTGATCCGCCGGGAAGAATACAAATTAACCAGTAGAATAATTTATTTTTTTAGATGGTATATAGTTGTAGTATATTAAAAAAATACATTATATATTAATGTCTGCATACATATTGTTCCAGAGGAACTAGTCCGTCTAGTAACCAATACCTCAATTCAATTAACTAAATTATGGTACAAGTTTTATCTTTTAAATGTCGCTTAAGATATATTGTATATGTTTTTTTATTTAGGTGGCCAATCAACGAGTATACTTAGTGTAGAACCAGAGTACAGTCTTCCTCAAAATTCAATTCAAGGACTAGATGCATCTAGCGTAGATAGAATTCGACGTGGCCCTCCCGAGCCATATGCGTCCAGTGCTATTTACACTGAGCTCAACTTTAAGGTACGACTACGTCACGATAAGACTTATGAGAACTCCATTGTTGATTTTAGATTAGATTACATATTCGATTTGCATAACTTATCATATACCAAATAAGCTAGAAAGTTGTATCTCTAACAATGTATTTCAATTTTCATACAGGATAATAACGAAATGGACTTGAGAAATTGTCCAGAAAGACGATCCCATAACAATAGCATTGTACGGTCATGCAACGGAAGTATACAGTACTCTAACGGAGAATGCTCCACGTGTTGTCATAGTACTTCTAGTAGATCGACCAAAGATTACAGGGAGCCGAGACATGAAGTGGTACACAACGAGATTAACGTTTTGGACGAGGACTGCGTATCTTGTCATACCAATAGATCAGGCTCCAGGAGTAGACAGGACAAAAGCAAAGTGTGTCCAGCGAATGATTTAGAATACGACTATCCGCAGTGGCACTGGCTCGGAAGGGAGAACAGTTTCAAAATTCCCATGCAGACGAGTAGACATTCTAATGTAGCGAGGTCGGAACAGGGCTGCCAAATAAATCTATGTGATATACTGCCGCCGCCACCGTATGAGGTAAATTGAAGTTTTTTTTACAGATATCACTGGATCTCTGTTTTGTAACTGTATATAGAGTTTATAATGATAAATCCTGGTTGTTTTCTGTAACTATTTCATTATTTACAGAGTCCAGAAAATAAGAACAATTAAGGAATGAAAAGTTTAGAGAAATCAATAAAACTAGTGAAATTAACTAAGCAAAGCAATAATAATTTTAACTGTAAGTTAAATTATAACTACACTTGTTTCACCGTTGTATTAATATTGTCCAGTTTTAGAGATAAATCAATGTTGTATGTAGATAAAGTTATTCTTAAACTGGTCATATAATATGTAATCGTTGTAGTTGCAGTTTTAGTGCTTGTAACAGTAGGTACCGAATTTTCGAAACTTGTATCTCGTAACTTATTCCTATCAATATTCTAGTCACACTGTATAGGACTAGCTTTACATTTGATAAACACTTTATTTGGTGTAATATCTCAGAAAAATATATAAATTTTGTATAACTCTGCAAGAACTCAAGGTTGTTTCTATTTCGAGTACAGTATGTAGATTTTAATACAGACCTATATTTCACTGCCATATACGGTTAGGATTACTAGATTTAGTTTTATAATCTTTGACTGTGATATTTATATAAAATTGTGTATTAGGATTTAATGTAATTTTAGACTTTAGAACCTCATTTACACGAAATATTTTTTGTTTTATCATATGATATGATCAAACACATCATTACCTATTTCTGTAAATATTATATATTATTATTTGTTCTTTGATGTGATCACGAATACAAATGTGTAACAAAAAGATTTTAGACCATATAAACTTACTCATGTATGAATGTAGTAATATGAAATTTCTTAAATGTTTTCTAAAAATTTTAAACGTAATTCATAAACAATTTGTAATATCATAATCAGAAATCGAAGTTTGTAATCGAGATATTTTCCGACACACCCTCGTATTTATCCAGAATAAAAATATAAGCAACTTTATGATAAAATTGTTTATTTTATTTCTGCCTATTATAGGTATTTATTTACTTTGCTCATATGAATCTCAAGGTGCAGTATGATGTTGATTTTACAGAAAAACTTAACTTAACTTAATTGCTCTTAAGCAAGTGTTGATAATGAGCCCATATTGATTACAATTAGTTATCTGTTTTAATAAGGTTACTTTTAATAAAAATTCAGAATAACTAAATTAGTACGTAAACAGTAATGGTATTCTGGTATTTATTGAAAGAAAATATAAAAGTAAAGGATATATATATATATATACTGCAGTAGTGGTAGTAATAGTAGAAAAGAAAGGCTTCTACTATTACTACCACTACTGCAGTGCAACTGTATATAACTACTATAAAGTGTACAGTAAAATAAGAAGCATTTCTATATCATTTTTATTAACAAAACTTTATTAAATTGATTTAAATTGAAGCATGCAATCATCTATCTATAATAGATAGGCAAGAAAAGTCAGATTAAATTAAGGTATTTGAAATTACGACTATATATCCTAAATATATAGTTGCAAATATTTGGAGATTACAGGTATATTTGGAGGTATCTACTACTGTTGACTATATGAAAGTTGGAGAGATCATCAGATTATTTAAAGGATGATTGTATTATGTAAGTGCCAGTAAGTATTTTCTGCACTTGAAAACTGCTAGTTATGTTCATGATCACGAACGCTGATTATTTATTAAAATAAAAGTGGGAAAAAAATAACAGAATGAACCTGAAACAACAACAACAACCTGAAAAACCTGAACTTAGAAGAACCACGCCCTTTAATAATTATGACATCTATATTACGTTTAAAAAATCATATTACTTTTGAGACGTTATATATTTTTATATTTTAAATATTTCGTTTTCACTAATCTTAATATATTTCACTTTACGTTTCCTTCGCCTTAATTTTATAAAAGCAGTATTTTCTGCCAATAAATTATATCTATTACCAAATTTTCGCTGTGGAAAATGAAAATCCGACTTATTGTAGAGGAAGGTTACGGGTTAAGAGCATTCGGCAATAAATCACTAACTCCAATTTATTCCTGTCTTGCTTACGTATTGGCCACATTTTATACCTTTTCCGCACAGAATGAACGTCCTTTTATCAAGAGTTTTAGGAACAAAGGACCATTGGATTCAAATTACGTTTATGCCGTTTCTGGAATCCTGTGTAAGAAACACTAGCATGTAATTAGAAGACTATTATTTCACTACTTGGAATCCTGACCTTAAAGTTACTTGCAATTCCTAGAATGGTTGCCTGGACTAAGAAAGAGTATTAAAACTGTTATAGACATTTAGTTCTATTAGTGGCCATATAATAACTAGAATATTAAAAAACGCTACAGCAGTATTCAATTTAAAATATATATTTTAAATTAAAATTGCGAAATAATAGACTTGTGAATTCATAATAAGTTACTTTATATCATGTAATAAATAAGCATATCTTATTATTAGATTCTTCTATTAGCATATCTTATAATAATGTAATAATGAGATATATCCACATAAAAAAGAATTCCCATTTAATTACCTATACAATTTTCACCCGATGACGTTACATGTAAATAAACAGTTGATTTTAATTTCTTCTAAATTATAAAAAAGAGAGAAATTTACAATTTTACTCTATTATTTATAAAGTACAGTATAACCTAAATCAATAATGTAATAGGTCTATGTAATTTAATTAACCAAAGTAGCAAGGAATAGCAGCATATGTTAGCTGAATATTCATTAAGCTTAAGTGATATATAGGTTTCATTTATATGATTAAAGTGCAGGTAAACAGAGCGTAATGGAACAACACCTCGGAATATGGCACGTTGCCAATTCGTTGTGAGATACTTAAGCCTTTCACGCTTTAATACAATTATTATATAGCAATTGATTCATGATAAAACAAGAATAACAGTCAAGTAGTCAAACATACAGTTTGACTGTAGCAGACTTTGTACAAAGTAGTGGATACCTCTTCCAGACAAATTTTAGCCGCAAACAGTTTGCTTTCTCAGTTATATAAAGTTTGCTTTGTAAATTATAGGGTACCTAAAGGAACGTTACGGAATCACCTAATGACATAAGGTCCATGGTATTCCAACGTTTAAAGGTCTGGGACGTCAACTTGTCATTCTATTTATGGAAACAATAAGTTAAACCTACGTTCTGCTCTGCTACTTGTAAACATACCAGCCCCTGATAATGCAAAAAATCGTAAGATGAACGTCTTAAACACCATAATATGATCGTAATTAGAGAAAAATGAGATTTTGTCTAAAAAAGAAGACATATGAAAATATAGATAGGCTGTTTGTATTTCAATTGTTTCATATCTGAATATTTTAGTATTAAAAAATAAAGTTTCTGACGAAAATAATAGCATAGATATGTTAGATGACACAAGCTGCCCTCTGGTTACCCTCTGAGTTACCGTTCCGTATGATTACTGCTTCGTTCTTTGATACCAGAAACAACAAAGAACACTTTTCGACACTGTGCTGTAATACGAGGCGATAAGACGATGTCTTTCTCTGTCTGACCTTCAAGCAAAAAAATAAATGTTATCTTATTAATTGTTAATGAGATAATTATAATACGTTACAAAACAGAAGTTGTAAAATCATATTTATTGTATTTATCATAAGGAAACGCATACGAGATTATTTCCCGTTGTTAAAAACATTTTGTAATAATTATTCAACTACTGAAGAAAAAAATTTAATAATTATTACAAGAATAATAATTTTGATCTAAAACTCATGTATTATAAAATTAAAAAAAATGTATGTTTCTTCTTGTCTGCGTTAAGTTTCAATAGCTATCTGATAGACATGTCTTTTGAGTCCAGACATACTTGTACCTACCGAAAAAACAGCGTGGCCATAATTTTATATGGAATGGAAATAACAATGTGTGGTACACAGTACAACATGGCATCCGCATTAATAATGACTGTGTTAGAGCCATAAAATAAATGATAAACATAGCTACATTTATGTACATTTCTTCCAAAATGCATGTTTCAACATAAATTACAATATTATGGTAATGCCTTTTTATAAGATCTTAAATGTTGATTCATTTCTATTTTTATAATTATTCTAAAGTGATCCCATAGTCATCTATTCCATTCTTCGAAATTCATCGAGTTGTATTTTTTTTAATGAAAGTTATGTAATTATTACACCGGTATACAGATGGCGTAAAAAGAGGGAAGGAAGACAATTTTGACAATTCCTAAGATCATATTTCGCGAAAGAGATACTTAAGTATTTCGAATGCACTTAACCTTCCGTTTATTTTTATATACGTATCTTTAGAGTAGGGAAAGTCCTTCAAAAATGTTTGTTTACAACAAACAATAAAACTGGGTCACCATTCCGCATCCTCTTCACATGTTGTCATGACACACGGACAAATAGTCTGACAGACTGATGATGTCAGGCTATTTGTGTCATTATGCGACAAAATTGTCTCAACTCTTAGTTATTTGGCTAAGAACTCCTGTAAATAAGTTATGCAAATAAGAAAATAAAGTCCTTTAAATTTTATTGTATGGCCAGTGTGTACAAAAACTAATATTCAATGCCGAATTCTCATAATGTCTTCAGTATTTATATATTTAAAAATAATACAATTAAACTGATTTCTATATTTCAAGTCACTGCCTGCATGAAATACAGTCAATTTTACTCGATCACAAACAAACTATATAATGATATTAGTGAAAATACGTGATAAGTTATAAAATCGGTAAGTATATTCACTACAAAACAGAAAACACAAAAATCAAATATTATTTTTTTATAATATTAGTGTAGATTACTTAAAAAGCGATCCCAGGATGGTTTGTTCCAAAAAAATTACAGATTATCCCATTATTGGGAGTACACAGTAGTGAATATTGTTAAGAACTATAACGAATCTGCAAGCCTAATTTATGCTAACAACATTATCGGGTCCTGTTGCATTTCCATAAGAAAGGCATTTATCATAAGATGGTGATCGAAAATAAGCCGACTTGCAAATTATCCGTCTTGTTGGGTTTCAACACAACTTACCTACAATCCTACATCTCATTTGAATATATTTGGACGAAGCTCATAAATATTTACAATATTACCATATTTGGACCATATTTTCTATTGTAGGTGTTGGAGTAAAGAAACTGGACCAGCTTTCAGGAATATGTCAAGAAGTTGTGTAGGAAGTGGATAGACATTTTGTAGCTATTCTACAAATTGCTCAACTTGACCTCAATCACTTATTGATACATTACATTATCCAAACAGTATTTCAACTCACAATAATGCATTAATTAATTAGGGAATATTTTTTATACTCATAAGAAAATTATATATATATATATATATATATATATATATATATATATGTATATATATATATAATTCGGTAATAGTAATATAATATATTGAGTAAGAATTCATTATAGACATATGCATATTGTAATTTGGTACATTATTAAGGAATAAACAAAATATAATGGAATTACATTTTAAGTAACCAATCTTCCTTTTTTCTTAAATAGAGATAAAAATAAATGGTTACGAATTTTTTTTTGTACTTTGTCAATAAAGCTTAAAATTTATTCAGAAAGTAGGAAATTTTTCTGCTCCAGTCGTGTACAGAAACTGAAATCATTAAATCTCTAATAAGTAAGTGAATATTAAAAATATTAGAAACTAATATCATGAACTTTTTACTGTAATGAAGATATTTGATAATTCTATACAAACAATTGCTTAAAACTTAATTATAATTAAGATAACAACATCTCATCTCACATTTAGATAACAGAATGGACACCAAGTTGATCCTGAGAAAATTGGATAGGTATCATTTACGATACTATCTACTAATCCCACTTAAATTGGGACACTACGCGGTTCTAAACTTCTGCTAAACCTTATATATATGTATGTACTATATATTATAAT